GCTCCATCCAAGAATATGGTATGTCTCTCTCTACATACTAAATGCTTGTTTTCTGTACTTCTTTTTCTAAATTTTTTAAATCTTTATTGACTTTAGAGAGAGAGAGCGCGCACTCGATATGAGAGAGAAACATCAATTGGTTGCCTGCTATACGTGCCCTGGCAACCTAGGTATATGCCCTGACTGGGAATCAAACCTCCAGCCTTTCGGTGTACTGGACAATTCTCCAACCAACTGAGCCACACTGGCAAGGGCTATTTTCTGTACTTCTGAAAATTTTATAAAAATACAAGATCCTGCACATTTCTTGTTAAATTTATTCTTAGATATTTCATATTTTCTGTGGCCACTGCAGATTACATCTTTTGTTCTCTTTGTTTTTCTGTAGAGCTATCTTTAAATTTTTCAATAAACCATTTTGTTCCATTTGCCCAAAATATTTAGAGGTTTCTAAAGGTACCACAGGCAAAGCTTCATACAGTAGTCATGAAAAGCTGCTATTGTCCCATTTACTGCAACCTTCTCACAAGACCCTGTAATGTAAGGCATTTATTTACCCTTTGCCCCAATAAGAAAGTCTGTCCCTCAGGGACAAGATGATTCTCCCTGCCCCACCACATCTGCCACCTACGGGGAAGCCAGCCATCTGTCAAGATGGAGCCATGTTGGGGACTCATCCTTCCACCACATCTGCTCTCATTCTGTCTCTTCTCATTTTCAACATTGTCCAAAAAGTGTGACTGCAGCCAGAGATGCGCTTTCTTCACTTTTATGTGACCCAGGGCTCCAGCCAAAAAACAAGAGCATCAGATAATCTATAAAAGCTGATTCAACCATAGAAGTTGTCCTCTAGGCTCAAAGACTTCTCTACTGGCCATGAATCACAGAGGTAGCTTCCCCGGGTGTGCCTGGCAAGGAGGGGCGAGCTCAGGTGCCAAGCAGCACCTGGGGAGAGAAGAGAGTTCACATTCGGAACTGTGCCTCTTGCCGCCAACCTAACACATTAGGCCGCTTGTTCCCCTTTCAGCCAGGAGGGGGAGCCAAACCACTCACTCGGGAGGGAGAAACAGGCTGGCGCTCCGTCCCGTACCAACAGCCTCAGCAGCTAGAGCTCCATCGGACTCTCCGCCACACCGCCATCTAACTAAAGAATCCCGGCGCCCTTGGACACTCTCACTGCCTTCCAGAAGCAGGCAGGGGACAGAAGTGTAAGTAGCCTATAGTGCTTGCAGAACTAAATGGGGATAACGAAGATGAAGCCTCCAAAAGGGAATTCAGACTCATCCCCTGCGTGGGGCGGAAGGCTAAGCACTGTGGCTGGGAGGATGACCCCCCGTCCCCAAGAACCCGGGCTCTCCTTCTATTCTGAAGTGCACCTGCCTGGAGAGCTCCTCGTCCCCCGGCAGCGAGATCCGGCCCTCCCCTGCTCAAGCCTCTTCCGGCTGGTGGCTGCGGGGAGAGGAATCCGTCCTGTATCACTTCCCCGCAGGCCAGTCCTGCCTCCAGGGACGCCTGCGTCTACCCGCGCTGTCCGCCCTAAACTCCCGCTCCCACCGGGGCCCCTGTCCCCCCGGGACCCCTCATCCCACCCGGGCTTGCGCTTCGGGCGCTGACTTCCTGGGGCCGCTTGCTCCCCCTCCCTGAGCCACACTGCCTCGAATGCGGGACGACTGAGGATTCTTCCTCATGCCCCCAAACAATTTGTGCCGGGCTTTGACTAAAAGGGAGGGGTGTCAGAGGAGGGTTTCAACCTAGCACTGAGAAGAAAGTCATTAAAAATGGATTAGGCATTTAGTTAAATGCGTGTAATTGACATCCGTCCTTACTTTTGCAATTTCTGACTCCTTGGCCTCCTGGTTTTCCTCCTTCCCCGCCGGCCCCTGCTTCCCGCTCCCTGCGGCACCCCGCTCCTCTGCTCCCCGCTGGAGCGCTGTCCTACACCCACCTCTTTCTTCCCGTGCCTGACGCTCTCATTCTCTCTCCTGGCCTCTGTCCCCACAGCATGCGTGTATCCCCGGCCCAGCCTTCTCTGAGCCCCAGAATATCTGCTCCCCACATTCAACTGTCACTCCAGACTCAACATGGCTTCTGTCCTCAAAACCAACTTCTTTGGGAGTGTTTCCTGTTTTGGTTGATGGCAATGCCACCTAGCCAGTGACTCAGGTCAGACCCGTGGGAGTCACCTTTGCCTCCCCCATCTTCTGTACCTACCTGATGACCAAAGCTGTGGATTCTAGGTCCAAACCTTCCTCGGTGTCCCCACTGCCACCTCCCTATCTAAGTCAGCACTGCCTGTCACCCACGCGTCCCTTTCATTCTTCACACCACACCCAGAGTGAACTTCAAAACCCAAACCTCTCGCCAGCTTCCTTAAGTCCCCAGTGGCTGCCCACTGCTCTCGGGATCAGGGCTGGTGCTGGAACATGACCCTCGGTACTTGGGCTGCTGCCGCCTCTGCAGCCTCTCCTACCCAAACTGCGCTTGCTCACTTCTTCAGATTCACCGCCCCCCTCGACTCTGGATCTTCAGCTGTGCTGTTCCCGCTGCCCTTCATCCAGCGAGTTTTCACTCATCCTCCGAATATCAGATGAAATGTCACTTCTTCGGGATAATGTCCACTGTCCTAAGACAAGGCCACACCTCCCTGCTCTGGGCTCCATGCACTGGGTACCACTCCTCTCAGGCCGAATTGCTCCGCGGCGCCTTTCACACTCCACCGTGAGCTCCATCACAGCGGGACCATGGCCGTTTCACCCACTGCCGCATCCCTGGCACCCAGCACCATGCTCGGCGCAAGGCAGGCACTCGGTGAGTTCCGCTGAGTTGATTCGGAGGAGTGAGGGCACTTGCCCAGACCTCTTTATTAGCAAGGAACGCGGGGGTGAACTGGCAAGCAATGCCTGAGACTGCAGACTATAAAACAGGATTTCTTGAAAACCTCTTCGAAAGAGTATTCCAGTTAAAGACTCTACCCCCAGCAGCACCCCAGGAGGGCAGGTGGGCTCAGGGCTGTGTGTGGCTACATAACCAGGGGCGAAACAAAAAATGTTGGAGGAGGAGGCCCAGACAGCCGACCACTGTGGTCTGGTCTGCCTCCTGGGGTTACCACACAGGGTTCCTGCTATAATTAAACCTTGTTCCAATGAATAGAATGTATTTTCTATTGCTTTGGTGACAAATACTTGCCCTTATGACTTCTACTTTCAGCAACCCAAAAGGGAGAAAAGTGAACCTACACAGTCCTGGGAGGACCTCAGGGAGCGCCCCCCAACTGACCATAGGCTGACTCTGCCAGCAGGGAGGCAGGTAAGACAGGAAGGTGGACAGCAATATGCAGAGTGACTTGATCACAGCCTGGTGTTATAAAGATTGGTCAGAGAGGAAACGAGGACCCGGTGGATATGAAACAATGACTGTGACAGACTTCACGGAGGTAAAACTATAGGACTCAGAGGTGATTGAACATGAGTGGCGAGGTAGAAGGAAGGTGTCGAAGGCGAAGACAGAGGCCAGGACTTCTGCTGAGCAGCCGCTGGGGTCTAGAGTGACCCAAAGACTAACCATCCTAGATGATCTTAGATGACTCTCTAAGATCTTAGATGATTGCCAGACAGCAGCAGGCACCTTGCTTACGCAATCACCGGGACAGCCCTATGGATATCTCCACCCTAAGTCAGAGGGACACACTCTGAACTCACCTACATCCAAAAATCCTCACACACTGAAATGCTAAGTGATCTCCTCCTGCTTTCAGCCCCCAGCCCCCAGCCCTTCCATCATAATGACAACCACGTTATGACAAGCAGCTGACACGAAGGATCAGTGGATCAGACACATTCAAAAATTACCTAAGTTGTACGTGGTAATAAGAATAAAGGTAAAGACTACCTGTTTAAGCACCAAACGGATGGAGACATGTTTAGCCCAAAACCTTGGGCAACTCACCTCACCTCTCTGAGACTCAGTTTCCTCAATTTCAATCAAGATACAATGGTAATAGTATTATAGAGGTTTTATGAGCATTAAAATAATACATATGAAGTAGTTGACTTAGAGCCTGACACATGACAAACGCTCAAAATTTGTAAACCCCGTGGGAGCAGGGATTCTGTTTGTTGCATCAGCAGTGCCCAGTGCGTCCATGGCCTGGGGAAGGTACACAGTTACTATTTTTTGGAAGAATGAATGAAGGTTATTACTGTCTAATAAGCCAGGATGAAAAAGAGAGAGAGAGAGAGAGAGAGAGAGAGAGAAAGTCAAGGGGAACTACTTATGGAGAATAAAGGGGAAAATATTAACCAACTTGCTGTCTAAGCCCAAGTCATTGGGCAAAATGTCAAAGAAGAATGGTCCCTGGTTGTCTAACCACTATGCTGAACACATGAAACTAATACAAAATAATATTGAATGTAATTGAAAATTTTAAAGAGTTTTTCGAAATTTAAAAAATGGAAGAGTGTTCCCAATTTGGACTGAGGCCACCTCCACAGTAATTACACATTTAATTAGCGGCACCATCAGTAGGTTGTGGAAACACACAATAGCAAGTTTTGGGGGGGAAACCTGAAATAATTTAGGCTTTGTACCTACTTAATTTGAATTTGAACTATCCACCATCACTCAGGAAAGCTATTGATGAAGCAATAATACTGTTAGTAGCTCTCAGGGAGTGAGGTATGTACCCTGATACTCCAAAGAGAGGTTAAGGCTGAAAATACAGCTTTAAGGATGTGGCTGAAGCCGTGAGAAGGTACAGATAGAAAAAAAAATGCTAAGGAAAGACCCTCAGAAAGCAGCCACAACAAGAAAATAAAGAAGAGCCATTTCAAAATTAACACTTTTACTCGATTTCCTTTCTCCAGAAATCATCAGCTTAACTTGTAGGGAGAAGTACTCAGAGAGGTCTGTTGGGTTGATCAGAATTATGTGAGGAAACAGTAATTCCTGGCCACGCTATATCCCAGTGAAATGGAGTATGGCAACATCACGACTCACTGTACCTGAGAGTGTACGTCTCTTCCTCATTTTGTGGCCCTTATCTTCTTTAATCTTGGCCACTGAGAGTAAGTAGGCCTTGGCAGGATCATATCCAACTTCCAGTATTACATTCCAGTAGTGAAGGAGGTGCAGCCTTGTCCAGAAGCTTGAGCTTTGGATCTTTGATATAAAGTCTGTGACACTTGTAACACAATGCATTAGTGGAAGTCATTTTAGCATTTCATGCCTTGAAGGGAGCTAGTCTTCTGTTTACATTCCATAAGCCTATTCATAAACTTCTTAATTGATATGACTTGGTCAACAAATAAATATGAGCCTGTCACCCTTCAGCAGTCAAAGCCAATGCCACCCATCTGTCTAGGAGGCCCTCCCTCTAAACAGGCCCCCAGGACCTGCCAGGCAGAGTGAGCCGCTCCTTCTTCTGAGCTTGCACAGCCCTGTGTGTTTGCCCTAGTGAGGCTGCGCGTGCATCTAACCACCGCGTGTAGCAATTCTCTGACTGCACATCTTCCCCACCACGTGGAAGGCACCTAAGGATGTGGGACCGTATCTCAGTCACTCATGCATCCCCCAGAGCCTACAACAGTGCGGGACACAGAGTGGGTCAATGACAGATGTTTGCAGAAGGAATGCATAAGAGGAGAAGAAGGAAGGGAAAGGAAGGGGAGAATAAGGGTGGAGGGGAGGGGGACAAGAGGAAGGAGAGGCAGGAAGAGAGCAGGGCCTAGCAGGAGGGCATGGCCAGTCTTTTGTCCCTGCCGAACTCTAAGCCCTCCTCTCTCCAGAATGCCTCCTTAACTTTTAGAGGAATCCACGCGAAGACAAGGAGGAAACAGAACACTCTGCAGAGCCAGATGATCAAATGGAGCAACCCTGCGAATCCATTGGTCATACAAGTTGATGCCAAATAATGGTCCTTCCAAATGAGTAAATAAATGTGTCTTGCTCAAGGGAACCTTGGCTCACTAAACACAGAGCTAGCAAAAGGAAAAATTAAATCTGCCAAACACAATATAAAAACGAGGCAACTTACCTAGGACTTGACAGAAAGCTGCTCAGATCCCCCCAGAAGCCACTCATTTTCATGTGCCATGGCAGCTCTTGGTACACTCTCCAGAAAGCAGTCTGCCGTTGGAAGTAGCCGATCAAAATTCGGTGAAATTGTGTTTTCTTGTGATTCGCTGGATTCTGAAAGGCATGAGGGCTGCTTTCTCGAACAGGAGTGATTACACCTATTTAAAAAACCAATTACAGTTGAATACATCTGACTTCTTAGTATGTGAAAACACAATAGTAAATAAATTAACAGGTCTGTGGTCATAATTAGAGACAATAACATAGCTCCAAAAAACACTGAAATATTAAAAATATATCTCCTTATAAATCAGTCTTAATTTACCAAACAGTTACAGTTATGATCCTTGACCTAGATTCTGAGAAGCTTGTGAGCATGTTGATTTTTCATATTGAGCTTTCCCCCTCCCCTAAGGAAATATTTGTGGCCTACTTTTCTATTTTAAATATACATCATGGTTACTGCTTAAATAAGCACTTTCACATATTTGAGGGCATGCATTTTGGAGAAGTTAATCCACTGCCTAGATCTCATATAGGCCAAGGGGTACCTGGGCAAACTAAAGGCAAATTGGATGTTGGAGTCGAGATTACTATATCTTCATATCCAGAGAGAAATGGTTCCAACAGATCATACAACCCATAAGCAAGCGTCTCAAAAACTAAAGGGTTTTGTTTCATTAAATCTTGGAGATATCTATCCTTGAAAACTAAAATAGAAGTATTTTTAATTTTCTTTTTTTTACATTTTTTTAAATTTTTTAATCATGTTTATTCTGTTACAGTTCTCTCAATTTTTCCCCCTTCCCCCCCTCCACCCACCCCATCCCCACCCCCCACTCCCACAGTCAATTCCCACTCTGTTGTCCACGTCCATGGGTCATTCATACATGTTCTTTGTCTAGTCCTTTCCCCTTCTTTCCACCATTGTCCTCTTTCCTGATTGCTTCTGGTCACTTTCAGTCTGCTCCATGTTCCCATGCCTGTGGTTTATTTTGTTTGTTAGTTTATTTTGTTTGTTAGTTTATTTTGTTGAATAGATTCCACTTATAGGTGAGATCATATGGCATTTGTCTGGTTTATTTCACTTAGCATAATATTCTCTAGTTCCATCCATGTTGTCACAAAGATAGGAGTTCTTTCTTTCTTTCTTTCTTTCTTTCTTAAATGCAGATTGATATTTATTTTTTTAAATGTCATTCAATTATAAAATATTAAAAAATTTAAAACCATTTTAAAGTCTCAGCAATTAAAACAACATGACACCAGCACAGAAATAATCAAGTAGATCAATGAAATATATTAAGCATTCTAGAAACAAACATATATATCTAACAGTGTAATATATGATTAAATTGATATTTCAAATCAATGGGGAAAATAAGGCTTACTCAACAAATAAGGTGCATGGACCACTATTACCTGAAACAAAACAAATATGGAGCCCTATTTCACATATTATACAAGAAATATTAAAAAATATTGAGTTAAAAATCAATATGTAGAATCTAAGGAATTTTAGGAGAAAATATAAAATAATATTCTTCTTACCCTGAAGTAAAATATTCAAACCCAGAAGGCTACAAAGTAAAATATTTACAATATGACTATATTAAACATTTAAGACTATATAGTAATATACATATAAAAAAAGGTAAAGGACAAGTAATAGACTGGGAAAGTATTTGCCACACATCTAAAAACAGGTTAATAGCTGGGGTTTTTTTCTCCTAGGGAAAAAATTCTACAAACCTTTAATCAATAAATGGATATAGAATACCAAAAAGTCATTTAAAGCTTTTTAAAAATAATAGAAATAGGCAAGAAATACACAAAACCAGGTTTAGTTTCAACAAATAATAAAGGAAAAATTAAAATAACACATCATTGTCACAATCAGATTAATGAGTATTAAAAATATTAGTAACATCAAGTATTGGCAACTGTGAATGGAATTGGGTATTGACAGACTCTTTTTCTTCATCTTAAAGCAGTTCCTTTAGCATATTTTGCAGTACTGGTTTGGTGGAGGTGTATTCTTTTAAAATTCTTTTGTCTCGGAAACTCCTTATTTTACCATCCACTTTAATTGAGAGCCTTGCTGGGTAAAGCAGTGCTGGTTGCAGGCCTTTCTTTTTCATTACTTGGAATATTTCTTGCCACTCCCTTCCGGCTTACAGTGTTTCTGTTGAGAAGTCAGCTGCTAGACATATCAGGGCTCCTTTATATGTTACTACCTCTTTCTCCCTTGCTGCCTTTAGGATTCTCTGTCTTTGATATTTGCCTTTTTAATTATGATGTGTCTTGGAGTGGGCCTCATTGGGATCTTCTTGAATGGGACCCTCTGTGCTTTCTGGACTTGTGTGACTTTTTCTCTCCTCCAATTAGAGAAGTTTTCCATCATTACTTTTTCAAACAATCCCTTGCTCCTCTTTTTCTCCTTCTGGTATCCTATTATATGGATATTATTACATTTCAGGTTGTCCTGCATTTCCCTAAATGCTTCTTCATTCTTTCTGAGTGTTTTTTCATTTTCTTGTTCTTTCTGGGAGCTTTTTTCTACCTTATCCTCCAGCTCGCTGCTTCGATCCTCTGCTTCATCTAGCCTGCTTTTGATTCCTTCTACTGTGTTCTTCAATTTAGAAACTGTATTCTTTATTTCCTCTTGTCTCTTATTGATAGTTTTTATGTCTTTTTTCATGCTGATGTAGTTTGCAGTAAGTTCCTCGTAGCTTCTCTGTAGTTTTTTGTAATTCTCTCTGAGCTCACTGAGTTCATTGAGCTTCCTTAGAATCATTGTTTGGAACTCAATATCTGAGAGTTTACTTGCCTCTATTTCATTTATTTCTCTTTGTGGGGATTCCTCCTTTCCCTTTGACTGGGAGGTGTCTCTTTGTCTTCCCATTATTTGTGAGACTCTTCTTTTTTGCTTCTGCTTCTTAAATTGATCTGTCTTGATTTCCTGACTTTGTGGTGTGAACTACTATGGTAGGAGACCACTGTTTTTTTTTCTTTCTGGATCTGCCTCTGATTATGTCAGATGTTGTCCCTGTCTGACCTTAGACAGACTGTTTGAGACTTCCAGGAATCTACTGTCTGTGGCTGTCTCCTTCAGCTATTAATCTAGTCACTCTGCACTCAGCAGTCAGGCTTCGAGACACCACAGGGTAGGGTAGACTCCCTCCTGGGGGCGGGGTTATTGTGTCTTCTCATGCTGCTGCTGCTCAGGAGAGTGGTCTGCCTGAGCAAGATGGCTGCTGCTGTATGAGGGAAGAGTCAGCAGTAGGATCCAGCCAGCTACTCTTTCCATTCTGTCCCCAAAGCCTCTGTCCCTAGTTTCTCCTCAAGAGTCTCTAGACCACTCTGCACCCCTTTTAGCCAGGGATCTACTATTTGTAGCTGCCACTCTGTACTCAGCCATCAGGTTTTAGCACCACTGAGCCTAGGCCGAGCCTCCTGGGGGCAGGGCTATTGGGTCCTCTGACACTGCTGCCACTCAAGGGGAGTAGTCTCTGCCTGAGCAAGATGGCTGCTGCCGCATAGGGGATGAGTCAGCACTGGGATCCTGCTGGGTACTCTGTCAGTTCTCTCCCCAAAGCCTCCTTCCCCAGTCTCTCCTCAGGCATCTCCAGTCCACTCTGCCCTCGCCTTTGCCAGAGACCAGGGTAAGTGGCTGCAAACAAAAATGTATGCTTTGGCCCTTTAAATGGCTCTTTGCATATCCAGCCACCTGTCTCTGGCACAGAGCAACCCTGCAGCTGGCTGTTTTCTGTGTACTTTTTGGGCACTGGTGCTGTAGGCTGGAGATCCCTGCTTTTGGTTTAGACCTCACTCTTCTCAGGGGGATCCAATTGATCCTTTCAATATCCTTCTGGTGCTGCTGCCCATGGGTGCCATGCCCACCTTCTTGAGTCTCTACTGCACTCCTTACCAGTTAGGTTGTGCTAAAGCTGATCCTTCTGTCTCCAAGGTTATAAGGCTCCTCTCTCGCTATTGTTCAGTTGTTTATTCCAGGGGATTTCTCCACAATTTAGTTGTAATTCCAGGTTGGTCCTGGGAGGAGGTCAGTGTGACTTCCACTCACTCCTCTGCCATCTTGATTCTCTCCAAGTATTTTTAATTTTCTGTCAGACATTTTTTCTTGCAAGATGAGTGGGTCACACAGTTGGACGGCACACCCAGCCCAGCTCTTCATAAGACCTACAGCAAAAGGAGCTGCATTTCCATGTTATCAACCTATTTAGGGAGTGTGCTACAGCCTGTCTAGGCCAGGCAGGTCCTCTTGAGACTCAGGTAGATGAAAGAAAATGTGCAGAGCCATGGGTATGCTTGACATGCCTTTATTTGAGGGAGCCACGCAGGCAACAAGCCCATGTCTATGTCTGCGCACACACTAAGAAGCCCCTATCTTCTTAAATACTAGAAGGAACAAAGCCAGCCACAGGCCAAATGGTTAGATAACATAGCATGAGCTGTGCGTGTGAGCCAACTTCATGTTATGGGAACTGTTTATCAGACCCAGTCTCAAGGCTGTGAGAACACTCCTTATCAGACCCCTTCAAGGTTGTGAGACACTGCTTCCCTCAGTTACTCAGACACCGAGGTGAGGAAGCCAGACTGCCTCCACTTACCCTACAGGGAGACTCTGTGCTAGCTGGTCTAAAATGTGCCAATCCTCCCAAGTGGCATGTGCACTGCTTAAGAAACCCATGGGAGGAAAGAAAACTCCCTTCCCCCACTGTGTGTAGCTCAGGCATCTTTGTGGGTCATAAATTGGGAAAGTGGGTGGCGAATGGGAGAGAAAAAGCGCTCTGAGAAATATTAGCTTGAGTCCAAGATTTGGAATGTTAAATGTGATGCTTAAAGTGTGCAACACATTTTAATATAAGACACCATATTCAATTTTATCTTTTTACAAACAATCTCATCAGGAGGATATGAAAATCCCTGTGATGGTTAATTTTACGTGTCTACTTAACTGGGCTAAGCGATAGCTAGTCAAATATTATTTCTGCATGTGTCTGTGAGGGTGTTTCTGGAAGAGATTCACATTTGAACCTGTAGAGTGAGAAGAGATCACCTCCACCAATGCAGATGGATATCATCTGATCCGCTGAAGGACCAAATAGGAAAAAAAAGGCAGAGGAAGGGCGAATTTGCTCACTGTTTGAGCTGGAATATCTATCTTCTCAGCACTTCTGGTTCTCAGACCTTCATACATGGACTGGGATTTACAGCATTGGTTCTCAGGCCTTTGGTTGAACTTGAACTACACTACTGCCTTTCCTGGCCTTCCAGCTTGCAGACAGCAAGATCCTGGGACTTCTCAGTCTCTATAATAATGTGCATCAATCCCTCATAATAAATATTTTTCTATATATCTATCATATTTTCCTATATATCTCCTACTGGTCCTGTTTCTCCGGAGAACTCTAATACAATCGCCACATGGCCAACATGGCTACTTAAAACCAGAGGGACCAGGTGGCTGGCCTTTGGTCAGCACATGGCCTGAAACTGCAGAAGCAGGCTTCCAGCCATCTCCCTCAGTTTCAGTCCTCCTCTGATCACACATGAGATGTGAGGAATGGCTAAGCCACAGCCTCTTCTGTGCATACAACTAGCTGACATTTACATAGTGCTGTTATCCCTCATGATGGGCTACATCTTGCTATGTGGACAAATGGACCCCAAAAATCTCAGTGGCTTTAAACATCAAAAGTTTATCATTCCCATCCCAGGTCGCTGGACCCCCAAATCCAGATATCCTCACTCCAGGACCGATGGAGCAGTGGCTACCTTGAAAGTTGCCAGTGGCCACTCATGACTCATTGAACAGAACTAGTCACTAGGTGCCACCCAACAAGGGGACCAGGAAGTGCTTCCCATGGTAAGGGGAGGAGCTGGAAATATTGGCAATTGGCTGAAATGGTCACCACCATGCATATCATTTTGCCAGTTGCTGTATTAAGTACCTTACATTAAATATACTTAGCATTTTTAATACCCTTATGGTAAATACTGTAATTATCCCCATTTTACAGGTGAGAGACCGAGTCTTAGAAATGTAAAACACCTTGCACAAGGTCACATCGGTTATGTCAGATTCCAAAGCCCTTGCCTTTAGAAGAAATCATTTCTAGTAGAGGCCATGGTAGTTTCTGGTAGGAAGAAGGTGGACCCCATTTGCCACACAGCATACAGGCCTGAAAGTGAGGTGAGGACAGGGTGAAATGAAGTTGCTCCCCTCCCATGACCATGGTGTCATGTGCAGGTGGCTCGTGCCTCCTCTCCAGTGCTCTGCCCTCCAGATCCTGATTCCACTACAGGCAGACACTAGAGGCTGATATTTGGTACTGGCTCTCAAAACAACAGATATGGAGGCTTTTAGAAATGACAAGCCCCCAAAAGACAGCATCCACGAATAGCTGTGCATTCATTCAGCAAGCATCTATTGAGTGTAACTGGAGTGGGTCCCAGGGAATTCAGAACTCTCTGGGGGTATCTGATGAAACAGATTAATCCTTATGCCTCAAGATCACCAGCTGATTTGTACAGGTCATCTTGGGAAAGGTAGCGGTGGAAGGCCACAGGCGGGGTCAGTGAGGAAAACGAAAAAGGAATTTATAATGGCCAATATTTCTTGAGAATTTTCTGTGGACCAGGCCTAGTCTAAGTTCTTGTAACTACACGAATTAACTCTTTGTTCATAATTAAGAACCATTTAAGTTTGGTAAGCTTATCATTTTACAAATGGGAGGCCCGGGTACAGAGCGGTAAAATGACATGGTCAAGGTCATCAGCCAAGAAGTAGGAGAGCCCGGGCTCCCCTCCAGTCTCCCATTAGAACTCACTTCTAACTGTTATGTTCTGCTGACTCCTTCCACTCAATATAAGCTGAGAAACAGGCTTCACAGACTGAATTTTGGGGAGCTCTCATGGGGTAAGGAGCTCTAAGAAGAAACAGAAAGGTCTCTTTCCAGGAGGAGCTCCCTGAGAGCCTGACAAGGGCCGGTTCAGGGGAGGAGGGCATGGCTCAGGTCTCCCAGGAGATGACTCCTCCCACTTCAGTGGGACCAGTACCGCACTGGCACCTCCAGGTCTGGCTGCCTTGGGACAAAGGGAGAAGGACCCGTGGCTTGAGATCTGGTTTTCTCATGGTCAAATAATGTACCTTAAGTCACTGACAATGTGAAAGCACTAAAAAAAAAAAAAAAGTGACTATTATGGCCAATATTAACCATTTGTGATAATGGCTTAGAGCGACTCGGAGAGTATTTCTCAGCTTTTCAGCTTTCCTAATTGCCCTTTTCCTTTCTCACCCCATTGATATGCATGCATTTATACATACATGTATGCACATGTGTACAATGTATATATGACCAAAGAGGGGAGTATAGTAACCAAAGGGGAAGGAGGCTATTACAGCAGAGGCTGGGGATCACAGTGTCTCTCTAGATTAGCCAACTTCTAACAGGAGTAATTTAAGTTACAAAGTGAATACCGTATCAGACAGAGTGTTAATTTCAAAGGAAAGAAGTATATAGGTGCATGTGGCTAAGAGACCAGTTTGCCTCAAAATAATCAATATGACATTTAGACAAAAGATGTCAAAAAATTGCTCTTTACCAAAAAATAAGATAGCAGACTCAAGTGCTACAGCCCTAGCTTTCGACTCCTTTTACCCCTGTAGGACTGGCTTGCTTCTCATGCGCAGGCAGCATGGAAGTGAAGTGCAGCAATTACCATTCCTATTGCCACTAGCAAAGACCAGTGTCCATAGCCTGACTCTGCAGCATGAAAACTTGTTCTTGTTGTTGTTTTCTGATCACAGTGAATATTGCCAGCAGCGCTTTATTTGGGGGCTCGCAGGGCAGAGAAAGGGTGCAGTGTGTTGCCAGAATTTTAACAGCCACATCACGATCCGTTAGTCCCTTCACCTCCAAGACTGTTATCCTTTGTTTACTTTACTATGTTTACTTTACGGGGAAAGTAAAAAAATTGAGTGTGTTGCAACCCACCATAGACCAAGAGCACAGAAGAGCTGACATTACTTCTAAGAACATCCTCATTAGTCGCCCTGTTCTCTTCCCGTATTTTGTAACTTCAGAGATGGTAGGAAAGATTCCAATGTATGAAGGAAACAGTAAAAAGGATTCATCTTTTTAAAAAGTAGAAGAGAACATAGGGAATTTAGAAGGAAATTTGCACAGAGCTTAGACTCTTTACAGAGGCTGTGATTTAAAGGTTTTTAAAGTCCTCAGATGAAAAATAAGAGTAATTGTCATCGAGTGCTCTGCTCTAGGTCACAGTCTGTGATTGCCATAATTTCTCAGGTTGAGGCTTAGTCTTTTTCAAAAGGGGATAAGAATTTGATTTCAGAATTAGGGCAGAGTCTGCTAGTCCCTACCCAATATCCATTCCCTTCCTCTTTGATAATGACAGATCCCATCTTGGCTTATAGTAGCAATGCACCAGTTGAAGCTTCTAGTCCCCAGCTTCCCTTGTATCTAACTGTGTCCCAATGACAAAGTTCTGGGTCAAAGAGACACAAGTGGAAATGTTGGTGAAAAACTTCTGGAAAAGCTCCTCAAAAGGAAATGCAACCCTATCTTCCTTCCTGTTGTCTGAAATGCAATGGCTGGAGCTCCAGCAGCCACACTGCTTATAGCAGTCATGAGCATCAGCACACCAGAATGTGAGCTGGTGTGGCGCATCACGGACATTCAAGGAGCTGGGTCCCAGATGACTCTGTGGAGCCACCACAGGCACCCTGGACTGCCTGCTTCCAGAAGTCTCTCATATGAGAAATAAACCCTGGGATATTAAGCCACTGAAGTCAGCCAAGTACAAGTCTTAATTTATATAACCATTTTTATACATGTTTATAGATTCATTTCTACTTGAGAAATCCCAGCTACAAGCTCTCCCTTGTAGGCAACGCTTCCCTCCCCTTAACCAGCAGGAATCTGCACAGATGCAGGTCTTACCGAGAAGCTTGTGTTCCACTGCATTTCGTAGAGACTGGTGCCGGAAGTACAGGAGCCCGCTGGGCTTCTCCTGGACCCACTGTCTGGTGGCGTTGCGGAAGGCAGCCCAGTGCAGCGTGGTCACTTTGTAATGATTCCTGTAGCCCAGCATGTCCAAAAGCTGCAGTATCTCATCCTCGGCCAACCCACAATGCGAGATGCTCAGTAAGCACAGAGTGTCGGCCACCCAGCCATCCAGCCCTACAGAGGCAACATAATGACAATGATGACAGAATAGCTCACATGTGCCAGGTGTCATTCTAAATGTGGCTAATAACTTGTTTCTTAGTCTAAGTGACTAATAACTTGTTTCTTTCAGTCATCCTATAGTAGATACTATAACTGCCCTTTCTCACAAATGAGAAAGGAGAAGCACAGAGAAGTGAAATAATTCACCCAAGGTCACACAGTAATAAGTGCACAACTGGAATTTGCATGCAGGCAGCCTGGCTTCAGAACCCACATTTTTAAAATATTTTATTTATTTATTTTTAGAGAGAAGAGAAGGAAGGGGAAAAGAGAAGGAGAGAAACATCAATGTGCAAGAGTTACATTGATTGATTGCTTCTCATATGCCCCCAACTGGGGACTTGGCCCGCAACCCAGGCACATGCCCTGACTGGGAATCGAAACAGTGATATTTCAGTTCTCAGGCCAGCACTCAATCGACTGAGCCACACCAGCCAGGGCCACAACCCAAATTCTTAACGATTAAGCTATCACCTACATTGTCACGACTAATCCATATTTGCTATGGTGACCAGCTGGCAAGCTTGCCAGTTATTATCCTTAGCATTTCTGCTGAGCAGTCTTTATTAAGATTTCCCAGTATGAGGCTTGCATTTACGGGTTGAGTGCTTTTCTTGTGTGATTGCTGTCCTGCCGCACACCCACAGGCACCACTAGAGCCAGCTCTTCCTTACTCACCTGACCCTAGATTTTTCCAGCACAGCTGGGTTTCCCACTGGCTTTGTGATCAACAAACTTTAAAGAGATCCCTAGACCATTGAGAGAAATGACAATAAGTTCCCATTCTAAATTGACTTCCTGTGCTAGGACTGAGGAACAAGCCCAAAAGACATGCAATCTTCAAGCAGAGGCAGCTGTTCAGGCCCAGCTGCGTAAGCTTCCTGTGAGGTTTACCCAGTTCACCAAGCTCTTCCTGCACCAGTGGCTGAGCTCCCTGGGCCTGCATGGGCCACGTGGGCAGTGCTGGGAGGAAGAAAGCCACCTGAGAAAGTCCAGTCCCTGGGGGAGAGAAAAGGCTGGACTTCCTGCACACTCCTGAAGCTGTAGGGATGGCCATAGGCACAGCCATGGACCACGCGGCCTGAGTGAGTCTTCCAGAGACCTTGTTTCCACCTCCTTGCAGGTCGGGGAGGGCATGCTGAATCTGAAGTCAGTATTCTTCACAGAAATGCAAACTTCAGAGCACAATTGACTGGGGGAGGGCAACATGCTGCAGTACCAAGCAATGAGCCTTCCATTCCAAGTATTTCTGCTTCTCCTTCCCTGCCTCATGTTCCCATCCCTGCTCCATTCTAAAGTCACTGCCCCTACAAGAAAGTGTTACAGCAGAAATGAAAGAGAAAAACTCAGGTTCCAAAGGAGGCTTTTGAAGCTCATAGCACAGACAATGATTTGTGAGAACTAACTTTGATGCTTAAAAGCCTGATGGTTGAATATGAAAAAGACAAATTCTTGGCCAACTCAAGAAATAATTTTTTTTTAACAAACTACAGATTCAGACAATTACAGAAGGATGTAAAGAAAACTGTTTTTTCCCACACAGGAAGAAAAGAGATTTTGCTGAACCAAGAGAGGTATAGGAGTGAGAGAAGAGAGCAATGGATTTGCTCAAGGGGGTTTCTGAGCAGGGCCCGTGCCCTCCCCTGAACCCAAGATGGCTTTGAGCAGGGGGAGAGCGACCCTCAGGGTGCACCTGGGAACCCACAGTTGGGAGAACCTGAGCTCTGCTTCCGGCCAGTAGCCTGGGAAGAACCAGACTGGAGTAATGGCCACAGGGCCGTGGGAGAAATCTAAGGGGTCTGGAGAGGTACAGTGAGCAGACATTCCCTGCCACGAATGTTGAGTGTCAACAAGACTGCAGGCTGAAGAAGCGTGCAGAAGTTAGCTGAGGAGAGGGGCCTCCTCGCATGCGGACGAGGGAATGTGGCGGCAGATGGCAGCATGGATGGAACAACCCAAAACAGATGGGGAAACAGGCCCCTTAAAGGATGCCAGAAATGGAAAGATGGCAGTACCATTGGACCATCTGGGGCCACAACCACCTCAGTGGAAGACAGAAGGGATAGAAAATAATCAAGGACACCCAGCACCAAGGTCCTCAGATCTAAGCTTAACCCAACAGGGACATAGGAAGAACACAAAGCCTCACCTGACTGAAAAAACAAAGAACAAAAAACCCTGAATTGACTGAAAACAAACTACACTGATGTAATTAACCTGAATTAACTGGGTTTTCTGCCATCGGTTGGACAGTAGGCTCAAAAGAGAGATTAAATAGAGTTATAGAAAGAAAGGCCCATTTCTTAGACCCCTGAAAAATGGGACTGAAATTTGTGCCTAATACAAATCTCCTTATAGTCAACACACAGAACTGCCTGGACAGGGTGTCAGATTTAGCAAATAAAAATGCACAGCATCCAGATAAGTCTGAATTTCAGATAAACTACAAATTCATTGTTGGGAGCAGTATGTCCCATGAAAATTTGGGATATACTTACACTTAAATTGTTTATTTGTAACAATCTGTAAAATTGTTTATCCATGCACTATCTGGGACATGCTTATACTAAAAAAGTATTTGCCATTGATATGAAATTAAAATTTAACTGGGTATCCTATATTTTCTCCGACAACCCTATCCCGAGACCCTCCTCCCTGGGTTGGGGGTCCACCACTTATTACCAAGTGAACTCTTACCAAGGTGTCAAAGCCTACCTTCTCCTGAAGCCATGGTGTCTGAATTTGCCTTTTTCAGTTTACAAGTCCAACTGTAATCTTCAGTCCAGCGTTTCAGAATCAATTCCCAGAGCTCCTGAATGGAGTCCACCTCCAAGTACTCCTTCAGACACTGAAACTCATTTCGGTAAATTCTACATTCTTTCAATTCATTTGCTAGGATTGTGAGTTTCAAAGGATTCAGGTTTGCTTTTTGGCTCAAAGCCTGTCTGATCTGTTGGAAGGGGTCATTGCTGGGAATGGAGAGATGCTGTCTCAAGATGTTTAATTTCATTTCTTCATCTCCTGTGCCCATGAGCTCCACGGTCCTCACGTCTGGGCGGGCACACAGTGACTTGTAGGACAGGCTGGAGGAGACGGAGCTCATGATGAATCTGCAATGAGGAGACAGGGAGCACGGCAGCCAAGAAAAATCTTTCACCTGGGGGAGTCAAAGACATTTGAAAAGTTTGAAGTCTTTAAAACTACTTCGCTGATGGTTTTTAGAGTTGGTAGAACATAGGAAGTAAATATAGGGTGACGGTTGGAATTATGGATATTAGATAGTATCTTGGAAGTCAGCAATATGGTGACAAGAAAATACCAGTTCCCATTGCATCACACCGTATTTGACTAACACTTCTCTGTTATGAATTTGATAGTACAAACGTGGACCTTAAAAAGGGGTTCCTACAACCAAATATCAACACTTCAACAAAATCATAGACTTCTGAAGGATGGACTATAGTCATGACCAAAGGAAACCCAAGAGGGTGCAAAATCAAACCATTCACAATTGAAAATACAGATGCTGTCTTGAACTGAAGAATTGTCACTTTGTTCAGCGATATTATCTTAAGTTAAATAGTTTTACTTTGGAATAAAATGAACACCTAATAAGATCTTTGTAAATTCTTGTAACAGCCTTTTCCATCCTTCTTTGTCTAATAATAGCAGCTATCGTATATATTCATCCCCCTTTGTCTAATTATAGCAACTATTATATACTGACCACTTACTCTGAGCCATGCACTGTGTTCATTGTGTCTTCAGGTAGTAACTGTATTAGTTTCGGTTTTCCATTTTCTCTATGTATGATGTTTGACCTCTACTGGGGCCTTGCAGACCTGGAGAAAGACTGCTCCTCCGGAGGCCAGCTACTTCCTAGGGGTGGTACACAGCTGGCCTGGATCATGCCTTTCATGTGCAGACCCACCAATCCAAGGTCACAACCTGCCCCCACATTCTTACCTGTCACTCACCAAGCTAATACTTCCCCTGCCCTAAATCATCCCAGGGCCAGGTACCAGACAGCCATAGAGGGATGGCTTCTATGCACAAAGCTCATCAAAATTATTCAAGCGATCCAGTCCCAAACTGTTTACTCTGTCCTGCCTGCTTTCCTTACAGAAACCCCAATGAAGGCTTTGGCCACGGCTTTTCTCTGGCTCCCATCTTCTGCCTCCTGACCACCATGATACTTCCCATGGGGCCCTGTGTGGAATGGCATGTCTCCTTCTTGCAGGAAATGTTAATAATCAACTCTTACAAGGGCATTGCCTTCTCCATACCACCACTCAGTCATCCCTTTATAAATAAAATCCTGGGCATGATTTTAATGCACCAACCCATTCGGTCCCCCTAACAACCCTCTAGAAAGGCAGAGGAGGAAACTGAAGCACCGAGAGGCTAACTGTCTTATCTAATTCACTCTCACGGTGAGCAGAGCTGGGATTTAAGCTGAGGGCCTGGCTCCAGAGGCAAGTTCCTAATCACTGCACTGAACTGCTTCAGATGACTGCCTGGGCAGCCCCTTGTCCTCTTGCCTCGCTCTGCTTCCAGGGACCCTTCCCCAAAGGTCAAGTCCCTTTGCTAGAGGCTCTCATGACACTACATACTGATCTTTGGCAGCACTTGTCACAGTTGCACTTTTATACTTATTTCTGTGATGATGTCATTAACATCCGTCATTTCCTACTAGTATGACAGCTCCATTCTCTGCAGGGCCCATGGCCGTCTCTGCTTACAGTGCCTTTCCCATTGTAAGTAGTCAAAAATTATTTGTTGAATGTAATTGTAAACAAGTCATTGTAAACAACTGTAAACAACTACTTGTTTAATACATGGTAGTTGCCATGCGTTAAATTAAAAAGCAAATTACAAAACAATATGGTGCGTAACTTCATTTACATAAGCAAATATATAATCCGTGTATATAGACATCTGTAGGAAAAAGAAGACTATGCAACAAGTTTAACAATGGTGAGACTGTGAGTATATTTAATTTTCTGTTTTCTTCTTCTTTATCACATTTCCCATGGGAAACATGTATTACTTACATAATTTATATACATATATATTAAAGTTTTAGAAAAAGTGCTTCACAAGGTAATGATTGATACCAAGAAGTATTCAAGGTTCCATTCATCCAATGTTACTTCAAATGGGAAAAACTAAAGATAGTAACCAATCAATGGAATTTGGTAAGTGCAAAATCAGTGTAGATGAGGCAGATCAAAATATACGACATAAAAAACACAATAGGGGACAAATGAATGCCTGATCAAAGTATAAAATAGGGGCAGAACCGTGCAGAAGCCAAGGCCACAGTTTCTAGAACCAGAAGTCCCACATCTGCGTTCCACGCCCACCCCTATCCTAGGGCCTTCAACAAGCCACCTACCCCTCCATGCTCAGTCCCCTGTATGTAAACAGCAGTGATGATCAGTCTGTCCTTCATAGGGTTATTGAGAGGATTAAATGCGTTAAAATGTCTAAAGTCCCCAGGATGGTGCCTAGCCCATTGTAAGTGCTATATAAGTATGTGTTCCATAAAATACACAGCAGTAAGTGTGAGCAATGCTGGCTATAGCTATAGATATGCAATGCCACGGAAAGGTATTAGGTACATTCTAAATTATGGGGTTTTCTTCTTATGAAATAGTAATAAAATAGGTATTATTTTAAGAAGAGATTACCTTCTGTCCTGAAATCCCATAAATGCCAATTAACTCTTCTATTCCATCTAGTACAAGTATACATGGCTTTAAACTGATGGAAGCAATGAACGCTTCTACAAGAAGTGAAAAGACCAAGACGTGTGAGTCTTCGTTAAGAATGTCTGTTTCAAGCTGAGTACCTATAGCAGAGAAATTTGCTTAAATTAGGTGAAAATGGTTCCATCATGCTAGAACATTTCATGGGATGGGGAAGCAGAAGGGGTTGGGAGGAATGGGTGCTAACTACAGCTATACAGCTGACACGTACATGTCCATGTGTGATTAGCAGCCTCAAAATATTCAACCCAAAAGAGACAATGATATTTAACCACCAGATGTCTCCTATACATTTTCAGGATTTTATATAAAAAAATACTTTGTATGACCCAAAACATTACTCTCATTTTCCAAAATGCAAAAGTCATGTTATGAAGAGTTGGATGGGAAGAGAGAGAAGTTAGGCCACAGTGATCTGTGAAGTTTCTGCAGCCCCTTTTACTTTTACCTTTTACTGGGTGTCTAAATTTTTAGGGGTCACAACTACCACTCTGGGCAGCCCAGCAGTGCACACATGTGGCGTCTCCCACCCACTGCTTAGTCTCTTTGGTCCTAGCCCATCTTCAACCTAACATAACCGATCCTGAACTCCTCTACCCACAACATTGAACCCCCAACCTTGGATTCTGAAAATCACCAGGGAGGCTTAAGTTATGAACCAGCAAAGGGTAAAGGAAGTAGCATGAGAAGGCCAACTTCCAAACTGCAATGAAGTGACATAGTAGCAGCAACCTAAAATTATAATCAACTACCTAATATTCTAAGAATATTTTACTACACACAACTCTATCTTGCTTTTTGTTTTTCAAAAGCAATATTTTCTGTAGAAACTTAGGCATATTAGAATCTAAAAAATGAAGTTATGCAAAGAAGCTTTAATGGATTAAGTCTCTCAAATGTGTTAAGATTTTATTAGAGTCATTTGGAGTAATTATGTTTGACAAATATTTATTGGTTGCCTATTATGTGGAAGATTCTGTGCTAGATGACTTGGAGATGAGGGAGAGGAAATGATCCATAATAGAAGGCCAATGAGTTAAGGGAAGTGAAAATGGGTTCTGTACACACACACGCACAACACTTTGAAGGCAGAATATGAGTCTGAAGTCCGCTGGAGTCTGATGTAGAACCAGCACAAGGAAGAAAAGCTTCATACAGAGAACACTTGAGATAGGTCCTGAGGGATGCTCAGGTAGAAATGAGGGCAAGGCTGTATCAGCCAGCCAGACAAGGCCTACGTGAAGGCCTGCAGCCAGGGAAGTACATGAACACTCAGAAAGCAGAAAGTTGTTTGGAGCAGTGGGGCTCACCAGGGCCATTCCAGGGGCGCTAGACATCCTACAACACAGACAGTCCCACAAAGGGAAACTCTGTCCCTTGCTTATCTGACTTTCAAATGTTCTGTAAGGCACCTAATGGAGGGCAGGAGACTTTACAATTACCTAGCTTGAAACCCACTCCATTTTCCAAGTAAACATTTTCCCCCATGGGTTAAAAACACACTGAATTGTCTATGAATTCAACTGCCATTTAAATTGATAGAAGATTATATATTATTTAATCTTAAATGATACCGAGATTTGTTCACCAAATCACAACTGATTGCAATATTGCTGATGACGTATGAGCCTTGAACACAACACACCCACATCAGCATACAGTTCCAGCTATTGTTTCACGGTTGTTTTCCAGAGACAGGCACCCGCCTACTCCACCGCCTTCCACTGAGCATTTGCATGTTGAAGTGCATGTTGTTTTAGAATAAATAACTTTATCTCACCTTTTACATTACAGTAGAGGGTTGTACTGATTTTTGTAGATATTTTTAGGTGAGAAAATGACCATAATATTAATGACTGGAAAGTTATATATAAATGTGAGACATAAAGGTGGAAAAGGTAGGAAAAAAGGTAGAGTCTGAGCTTGTGTCATACAATAAAATACACGTTTCAAGAACGAGAAGAGAAATATTAATCTTGATTCTTTACCCTTCTAGCTTTAAAAAAAATCTTTAAAAGATGGGTACCATGGAGATTTCAGGCCTTGAGTGGCAGAATTTTAGAGCAGAAGGGGTTCTTGGACCTTGCCTAGTCTAGTCTGAGCATCTCATTTTGCAAAAGAGGAAACTGAGGCCTACAGAGGTGAAGGAACTTGAACACACACTGATTATCAGGAGCTTTTAAAGCACTTATTTTTCTGCTAGTTTTTCTTCAAACAATAAGTAATCATTCAAAGATGGCATTTCAGGCTCTGTGTGTCACCATTTTTTGGTGTTTACAGTTCATAGGCAGTCGTATCTGGGAGGCAGGGATTGTTCAGCCTTCTTAAAGCTGGTGTGGAGGTTAAGTAGCAAAACAAATGTGAATGAACCTCAAAAAGTACACAGAACCTGACAATCATAAAGCACAATACCACTCATCATTGTCATCAAAAAAAGAGTCCTAGGCCAAAAAAAACTCAAGGATGATGATACTTGCGGACTATATCTGGGGGTAGAAAGGAAAGCATATGTTCAGTGTTTTTAAAATCACATGCTGGACAATTAAAAATTTTTTTAAAATATCACATGTTGGGTCATTAGGATCGTATTCCCTCAAAATGATGTTGAAGATAAAGTCATCATTATTAGTACTGAAAAATGATCCCAAACATTTATCTTTATTCTGGCAGTACCAACTGTCTCTACTAAGTGACAAGGCCTATTACCTAGTTAAAATTGTAACATCTCAAGTATTTGAACACCCAGTTGGGAGAGGTAAATTTATGGAAGGAGGAAAAGGGTTAACTGATATCATTCCATGATACTTTGTAACAAAATGCCTTAGTAATTGACAAAAAGGAGGGGTGTTCTTTCAGGAATAGAATGTGTCACCTGACTGTCAAGTATCATGGGCTGTTTCTGAATTTATTCTATTTTGTCCCACTGAAGATTTGTTTGTTTGAAGGATAGCAGCTGTTTTTATTAGGAGATTTTGGCACATAAAATACACTTATTAAAATAACAATTCATTTTGGGAGTAAACTCATAATTGTGCATGTCTGGTTGAGTTCTACCTTCATCATGGCTACAATGAACACCTTTGGGATGTGCCTGAGGAGGACTAGCCATCTTCCCATAGAGCCAGTCACACCTGCTGCTAGCGATTTTGATGTCAACCACTTTACACGACCTGAGAAAGGCATCCAGAGAGAGCTCATGCCCACACGTTCACCCGACTCACTCACAGACACTCACCACACGCACAGAAAGAAGCTCAAGAATCTGTGCCTTCACACAGAGATAATCTACGTCCATCAGAACTCATCCTGGGCCCCATGTACTCGCTCAGCACCCAGAGGCACACATGGATACCAGCCCCGGGTGAGAATGGATGAATTCCCAAAAGCAGGCAGTCAGACATACACAAACACATGAACACACAGCAGGAACCTGCTGGTGGTGATGATGGTGACGGTGATGATGATGATGATGATGATGGCTAATATTTATCAGTGCTTACTATAGGCCAAGTCCTGTGCTAAGTGTCTTTGTTTTTCTTTTTTTTTTTATGATCCACATTTTACAAATGGGAAAATTGAGCCACATAGAGTTAAAATAACTTGCTCAAGGTCACATGGCTAAGTACCAGCTGAGCTCCCCAACTGCTTCTACAACAGAGGTGGATCCCACATGACTGTTATCATTCCGGGTACATACCTTGTATCTTAATATCTCACTTTCAAAGCAGAGCTCTTGATTCCCCTCAAAACCCACGGCCCCTGCCCCTCCAACGTTGTCCCATCTCAGTGAACAGCCCTCATCATCCATCTCGTTTCCTACAGCCAAAAACTAGGAGTTATCCTCAGTTCCTCCCTGTCCGTCAACCCCCACATTAAATTCCTTAGCAAATCCTCAATCCCTCCCAAGCCCTGCACCTCCGCTGCCCGCCTCACACTGCCGTCGGCTCCTGCCGGGACCCTTGCAATAGCCTCGGCAAGGGCCCTGCCTCCACGCTTGCTTCCCTACATCCGTTTTCCACATATCAGTCTGGTTCTGATCTTTCAAAAATATCAGTGAAATCATGTCACACCCCAGCTTAAAGCACTCCACTGGCCTCCTATTACACTATCAAAATAAAAATAATAATGATAATAATAATACAACGGAACTACTTTAAAATGGAATCAGAGCGGCCAGCCCCGAGGAACTGCCTTGCCTGTCCCAGCCGGCAAAGCCTTGGAATGTTAAAATTGGCCAAAATAAGCTTTGGACTGGGCCTACTAAAGCAACATTGTGTCCCAAAGAACTGTTTGCAAGGATAACAAGAAAGCAGATACTATGCTACTGGACTGAAGTCTACCTGACTTTAAATTTAAATACTGTTTACAGTTAGCATCATTGTGTTAACTTTTCTGCACCAATAGAAAAGGCTTCCTTCTACTGATATAATTGTTCCCTTCCCTTTCCCATATATACCCCTTGCCTTTGTCTCCTAGTCAGAACACCATTTGGACTTCTGCCTGAATCAGTGCTCCCGAATAGCTATTCTTATCTCACATAAATATTTGCTGCCACTCACTTAGGCCTTTTATTTTTAGGTTAATAGCACTCAGTAGAATCCAGACCCAACATTCTGTCCTACAAGACCCCAACATGAAGTCGCCTGGCCTTCGCCTCCTGCGCCACCTGGTACGCCCGCCCCTGTAGCCCCCCAGTCTGCCGGCCCTGGCCTCCTTTCCCTCCCTGGCTCACTCAGCTTTGTTTCCTGCTTATGACCTGTATTACCTTAGCTGTCCCTCTGCCTGGAATGTTCTTCCTTGTGACTACCACATGGCTGGCTCCTCCCTGTCCATGAAATGTCCCTGGAGAGTACTGCAGAGTGGGCTGTCTGTCCTGCAGAAGTTCATGCTCCCCTTGCCAGAGCGTGGGGTTAGCTTTCTACCCACGGATTCCCAGTGTGGCGAGGCAGGCTCAGGGTAGCCAAGTTCTTGCCAGAAGAATGAGAGTAGAAGTGATGTGTATCACTGTCAGGCTGAAACTTGAAAGGAACAGGTATGCCTTTCCCACTTTTTCCCCACTTCCTTTATGTAAAAGCAGAGGGTTCTGCATTGAGGCCACAGGGGCTGACACAACCTCAAGATGGAAGGAGCACGTGTCCCCAAATCGCCACACAGAGGGAAGCCACTTGTCACCTGACTAGGAACCCCATACTGGCCTGCTCCATGAGTGAGCAACTGCATTTGAGAAGCCACTGAAATGGGATTTGTTATGGTACCTAGAATTACTCTAATACAGAGGCGTAGTCCCCGATCACTCAACCTAAATAGCCACCCTGTCACCACATCACATCACTTTGCATGGCACTTATCACTCTGTGATAGGTTTTTTGTTGATTTATCTGCGTTTCTCAACTGGAACGTCCTATCTATGGGAGTCACGACCTCATTTGCCTGACTCACTCATATATACCCGGGGCACAGGACAGGCAACCAATAAATATTCTGAATGAATGAATGAGTGAATGACTGTGTTCAATAAACCGTTATTGAATTGAGGAGGAGGAACAATAGTTGAAAGGCACATCCTGCCTTGGAAGGCTTGAACTTGTCTCCTCTGACTGGGAGGCTACCTCCAAAATATTGGCCTGGCCCTCTCCTTCAGATATTTACTCAAATGTTCCTCCTCAGTGAGGCTGTGCCAGGTGACAATTTTAAAATCCTAACAGTTCTTGCATGCACATACCGCCTACCTTCTTTTCTGCTTTATTTTTCTTCATAGAACTTACCATCATCAAACATTCTAGACCTTCTATTTAGTTGGTTAATTCACTGTCCTCCCCCTCCTTCTCCAATAACATGAGGGTAAGGACTTCTGTCCATTCCATTCACTGTTGTATCCCCGCTGCCTAGAATAGTGCCCTGGCACATAGAGGTACTCGATATTTGGTGAAGGAAGGAAGGAGGGAAGTGGGCGAGGAGGAAAGGGGGGAGGACGGGAGGGAGGGAAGAGAAAGAAAGAAAATTTAATTCTGTGAGAAGAGGTGGGCCCATATGTAGCGGAGACAATACAGAGTTCAGATTAGAACGATAGAAAAATAGCCACATGAGCAGAAGACAGAATAACTGTTTTCTGAAAAAAATTTCCTGAATCAATGGGCAAGTCTGACTCCATTACCGTAGTTTTTGCCCTGCAATTCCATGATGAAGTAATGCACCACGGACATGATGTCACTGCTCTCACACGTGCTGCCCACAAAGTGAGGGATCATCAGGATAGTCGGGTGTTTCTTTTTGAAATAATTCACCCAGTTGGCAATCAGAGTGGACTTCCCACAACCACGGTCTCCAGATAAGAGCAAAATAGACTTGTAGGCTGAAGGAGAATTTATTCTGAAAAATAAAGAGGTAAAATATAGTCAAGGATATTTACTAAGGAAAGGAGGGAGGGAGGAAAATTTTCTCGCATATGTTTTGTCTCTAAAAGGTATGAAATTCCAGTTTCTTAACTTGGGCCTCAGTTTGGCTCTAAATAAGTCTTCCGCCCTCTGGGCTTTAGCTTTGTCCTATGTAAAATTAGGGCAAAATTAGACATGATAACCTCATAAGGCCCTTTCAGCTACACAGATCCAAGGGTTGTCCAATATGAACGGGGGGTTATGGAAAGGGCCCAGGGAGGCAGACTCTTCCAGATCAGCCCTCTGCCCTTGTATCTGCCCAGCTCATCCGTCCCCAGAGTAACAGCCGCCGCCACCAGCCTGGTCCTCCATGTAACATCATATTAGGAGAGGATAAAATTGAAGCCTTCGAACGCTGAGGATGCCCATCGATCCTGATAATCATGACATTTGAAACTCAATGAGATGACCATAGTGGTTAGTGACCCACTGAGGAGTAAGTAGCCTGCTCCTCTACTAGGGTCTTTTGGCTTGTAGTACAGCAGAAATAGGATTTCTTTGAACTGGCATAAGCATAGGTTAACTTGGCCCAACGTCTAAGTTTTAGTGAAAAGTTTCTGGATATGCAGAGGATTCCCAGGCCTGTGGGTAGCACTGCATATAGACTCTAGACCTGCTCCTTACACACTGCAACCTAATAAATATGTGTCTAGTGATTTTTCATTGCTACAAGTTCCATGAGGACAGATATCAGGCTTCTTTTATTCACTATTGAATAGTTAGTGACTGACACAGTACCTAATCATAACTTGTTGAATGAGTTAAGGAAATAAAATAAATAAGCCTGATACTTGGTTTTAGTGAATTATGAAGATGAGTCTGAAAACCCATTAAAACTGGAAACGTAGAGCAGGATCATTAACTACTAGTTACTCCATAAGGACCCCACCTCCATTAATGTGAATCAGAAACCAGTGTCATTGCTTTAATTATTTCACCATCAAATTTGAATGACAGAATTTGCTTTTGTCCCACTTCCACCTTCGCCCTTGTTCAGTCTGTCCTCAGTCAAGCTGCCGGAGTAAGCCTGTCAAATACATCCCGCAGATCACTGCTCTGCTCAACAGTAGTGAAAGCCCAAGTCCTCACAATGACCCGTGAGACCAGGCAAAACCCACATCCTGCCGCCATCGGTGACACCTCCAACCTGCCCCGCTACCCTTCCCTCAGCTCTGGCTTCCTTCCAGTGGCAGGGCCTCCCTGCCACTCCCCCAGCCCCAGGACCTCTGCGCTTGCCATCCGCTCTGTCTGGACCACCTCCTGACCCGTTTCCATAGCTTCCTCCCTCACCCTTTGCCAGGAATGACCCAAATGCTACCTTCTCTCCTACCAAGTGGTCTGTTCCCTTTCAAGGTTTCATTTTGCTCCATAGCATCTAACCTGCTACATTTTTTACATATTTATTATGCTTACTACCTGTCTCCATATGTAAGCTCCACGGAGGCAGGGATTTTTATCTCTTTTTTCATCCTATTCCCCTTTAGTCTTTTTCTATGCATTTTCCCTTTATGTAGATCTTAGAATACATATACATGTAATTCTTCTATTTGTTGTTTTTTAAACTTAGATAATTGCCATATACCACTGTACTAGTTTTATGAATACAACATAATGACTTGATATATGTATATACTGTGAAATTATTACCAGGAATTTTTGCTTCTTTTGTTCACTGCGATATCCCCTGTGTCTAAAACTCTTCTGGGCACTTAGCAGATAAAATCAATAAAGGAACAATGCAAAGATAATACCTAATTAGGCTAGGGCCTTAATAATTTCTTCTCAAGAACAAATAGAAAATGAAAACACTGCAAAGTATTCTGTGGCTCCTTTCAAAATGAGGGGGAAAATCCTACTGCTTTAGATGATTGGTTATTAATACAAAACTTTGAAACTTCAAGAGAAAGCCCTTTTCTCTTACCTATACATGCTATTCAGGAGCTTACAGCACACAATATTGTTTCTGACCAGCAAAGCAAACAAAGCTCTGAATGATTACACATAGCTCATCTCAAAAGACTTATCTAATCGTATTCTTATTGGCACAACTGGAGTTGTTTAATTGCAATAAAATGTATTAAATTTCTCATCCACTCTGAAATACTTAAAATTATAACCTAAGTGAGATATAATTTATATATCCCCCAAAACACCATTTTTAAGTATACAATTCAATGGTTTTCAGTGTAGTCACAAGGTTGTTCAAGTAGCACCACTGTCTAATTCGTGAACACTTTCAGCTCCCCAGAGAGAAACTTCTCTCCCACTAAGTCATTCTGTTTCCTCTCTACCCTCATCCTCTCGCAGCCACTAACCTACTTCCTGCTTCTAGTTTTGCCTATTCAAACCTAAGAATTTGCAACACATGATCTCTGTGTTTTAAAATCTATGGTCTTGAAAACCTTGACCAAGTGCCATGCTGCATTAACCAAATAACGTGTCTTCCTCTTGGCAGGGCTTCCCCGAGCCCCAAGAATGCCGGGAGCTCCGTGCCTTCGTGGGCTGAACTGGTGGTGCCGAGATGGGGTCAGAGGCGTGCGGCACAGCCCTGAGCCATCCGGCCCCTGGGGTTCGTTTCAAACCAAAAAGCTCTCACAGAACAAATGAGACCGAGGGTAACTGGAGGATGGGGATGAAAGAAATGCAACTGTCCCCCAAACCTCCCTATTTCCAGGGATGATACTGGGAGGGACACCAGAAACCACCCTGTTCTTACTTCACCCCCCAGCCTCTTCATGCCTGTGGGTGGGAAACAGAGTGTGTCACCACCCGGGGTGGGAAAAGATGTGGGGGTTTTAATGTCGAGGACATTAGCCAAAACATGAAGGAGCGCATGCTTTGGTAAGGTTAACTCTGTTCTTACACATAAATACAAATAATGATATGGCCCATAGTGGCTGTTTAATTAGTGCTGGCTGAATATCTAAATGTAGTTAATGGTGGGCTGATGATGTCTGTGGAAGCTCTTTGTAAAATATACGATACTGTCCAGATGCATTATTCATATTTCCTTACCTAATTCCTTCTCCTTCAAGTTATCCCATCATTATTAGGAATTACTTAGACCAGTTTTTATCCATGGAAGAAAAAAGAAGCAAATACCCTGCCCTCCAAGAGTTTATAGTCTTCTTGAGGAAACTGGAAGAAAGTTCATGAAATAGCCAGGACTCCTTTGCATACGCACAGTGATATCTAATCAGGCCATTCTAAGCCAGGGATGGCTTCCAGGGGGGCCTCATGCACAGGAAGGCGTAGGCACAGAGTAGGGGAGGAGAGGGAAGAAATTCCAAATTTGGGGGAGTCACGTTTATTGAAGTCAGGCTGGTTTTACTTTAGCCCAGTGCAAAGGGTTGGGATTTCTAGACATCTTACCTGAGAACAGAGTCTGAACTGGAACCTGCTGCTGCATCGTTAAAATCAAATTCCAAATCCTTTAAGGCGAATCTCTCCAAGATTTCAAACATTCTGTTTGACTCCTTGGAAATAGCAAACACTTGCTGGCACTTCTCCGTAAACTCTTCATGATAGAAACGTTCGAAGTTGTGCTTGTAGTCTTTATGGTCAAAAAGATAAATTTTAGTGTCCTAGATTTGTAGTTTCACACTTTCAATCACACACGGTTATTATAAATTCCCAGGAAGGTGTCAACCCTTCCATGTCTGTATCGCCTTCTTTCTGTCTTGGCTCCACATTTCACAACCCCTTCTACAGTCTAGTGAAAACAAACTCATCTCCTGGCAGCCACGGGAGTATGTCTCAAATTTAAAAACAGGAAAAAAAAAAAAACAACCCAGCTCTGAACTAGCTGCTATACTGCCCAAGTTCTCTGGTGTAATCAATCTCACCCATGTCTCATGCTCTTCTTTAAAGTTGAGGGTGGATATTGACGAGGTTCAGTGAGGTTGCGCTGTACTTGCCTTGGGAGGTGAAGGTAAACTCCCGGGCTAGATGTGCAGTTTTACCACATACCAAGCAGTTTAATCTTCCTAATGCTATGTGTATATGAAATCCTACTTAGGATTCCAGGTTATTCCATGACTTCCAGAATGACAAGAGCAAAAAAAAAAAAAAAAAGATTTATTATATATGTATATTATCTCATCTTTTCAAATTGTTAACTAAGAATGAAGGTACCCCATTAAATCTTGTGAGGTATGTGTGTGTGTCTATACATGGCCGGGGTTAGGAGAGTAGGGTGTATTTTTAGGATAAGATGCCCTATTACAATAGTAATCATAGGTACAGTTGCAATGCTACTACTGGACAAGACTCTTAATCTCTCTGGTAAAATAAGGAGCAAGACCAGACAATTGGATCACCTCCGAGATTCCTTTCTGTGTCAACTTACTGTGATTCTAAACCGTTGCCTAATTCAAGTCAGGGTGTTCTGGACTCCCAAAATACCCTCTTTTTTCTGGAGACACATATACCCCCAACCGGGGGGGGAGGGTGTGTGTGTGTGTGTGTGTGTGTGTGTGTGTGTGTGTGTGTGTGTGTTTTAATTGGAGTAGAGTAGAGGGAAGGCTGTTATGAAGATCAGGAACACCAAGTAGATTAGGCCTATAGTCTGGCCAAGGACAGCTTCAAATTTCAAAATTCTACACAGATTTTGGGATGACCCCGCAGTCCAATGGTTCTCTTGAACCAGTCTTGAACCTCACCAACTAATCTGTTATCTCCAAGGACCTCTGAAGTGCTTCTAAGGATCAAGGGTATGAACTGATAGCTTTGCATTGCCTTACAGTAACTACCAGCTACCCAAATGGCCTATTGCAACCCAAGCTGTGAAATTTCGGAATGACCTGGAAAGTTAAAGGGTATTAAATGTCAAAATAATAATAATAATAATTTAGGGCTTCTTTCTAACACCTTTTTCATAATCCTTCTGTACTTTCTCATTCAGACATTTAGTCCACATATTATACATTCAAAAATAAAGTCTAAAACAAGCTAATTTTTCAATAACAACCAAAATCAAAGACTATGGGAAATACTATGAAGAAATGATCGGTCCCTAACCCAAATACATAGGAATGCTTGATTCTTGAACATATTACTGAATACTAATCAATGGATGCAGTTCAAATTGAGATTAGTCAAAGAATATCACTATTAACTATAGTTCAGGTATTAACCAAATATATATATATTCTTCCAGGACTCATTTGTTATTTATTCTCATTAGCTATTTACTCTGTGCCTTATCTGTGTCATACACTGTTTTTAGGTCCTTTACACACATTATTACTCTCAAAGTAGTTAATGTAAACACATTACATAGAAGAAGAAACTAAGGTTTACCAATGTTAAATCATTTGTTCAAGGTCATATGATAGGAACTGAAAAATCTGCGATCTGAGAGCATGACCGTCCTTGGACATTCTAAAACTCCTGGAGTAAATATTCATGACATTTTTTGGCTGCCCAACATCCATTCACCTCACCCTAGTTTCAGTAACATTCCTAGATTATCACTTGAGATCCCACCCTGCCCCAGTTCTCAGTACATGTTACTCCAGTGAGTCTGACTCTGCTGCCGGCTCCAAAGGTGGCATATGACCCAGCATTCGCCCATCAGAGCATCACATTCTCTTAGTACCAGCGATTGTGACAGATACAAGAATATGGTCCAGGTCAGACCAATTAGAGACTGAAAGACTCGACATGAGGACACTGAACCATTTCTGCTGGACCTGAACCTGGAGCTGCTATAGCCATCTTCCTTCCGTGACGGAGGAGCCATGGGGTGGGGGCAACATCAGGGCAGTAGAAACACATGGAGAACAAGTGAGAACCAGGGCCTGGGTGAAGCCTGAGCTGAACCAGACCTAATCCTGGGCTTTAAAGTTATATAAATGAATAAATTTCCTTTTTGTGGAAGCCAGTTTGGGTCACTTAAAACCAAAAGAATTGATTGTACAGTGTTCTTTTCCAGGGCTCCAAAATGATTTGGTTTGCTGACAGTTCTGTTTGACCGGCACAGGTGGGATTTCACCTGCCTCCCCACCCTGCACACCCCCCGACAACACTACATTTGAATGACTTTGGCTGGGTCAACTCTCTCCCTTCATCGCAGATTCTTCTGCTCTCTTATCATATTATAAGGACTACCACCTGCCTGGTCCCTGAAAGAGTCTGAATGCACCACCTGCCTTTCATTTTGCATTCCCTCATTAATTGGGCCTTTATAATAGTAATTCATAACCTTTGGGGGGGTCATGGAACTCTTTGAGAATCTAATCAAAGACAGAAGCCATCTTCCTATCCCTTCCCAAAATGCACATTGCATATCAATATTCTATTCTTCCTATAATTTAAGAGACATCACAGATCTCTCCTGAAGTCTATCTAGGTAAAGAAGCACTCTGAGACTTTGATATCGTTCTTCCCTTTTTAATCTGGTGCACATCCACATGATATTATCTTCAAAAATAAAGGTAATCATTTCATTTAGAGGCAGTATGTCAGGCAGTGCTTCTCAAACTTGAATGTGCAATTCTAACTCAGCAGACCTGGAATGGGGCCCAAGATCCCGCTTTGCTAACAAGCTCCCAGGTGATGCTGAGGATGCTGGTCCATGGATGATTACCCTCTGAGTAATAAGGATGAAAGAGAACGAGAATGGATCTTGGAGTCACAAGGACACTGTTTCAAATCCTGAAATGGTCCCTCATTAATTATGTGACATTAGGTGAGTCACTTAACAGCTTTCATTTGCTCATCTGTAAAACAGGAATTATAGTGCCTACCTTGCAAGGCTAAACGTTGAAGACTACATATGATGGCATAAGCGCCAGGTGATTAATAAAAGTTTGTTCTCATCCGTTTAGGTCAGGGTTCCTCACCCCTGGCAGCACTGACTTCGGGAGCTGGAAAATTCTTTATTACAGGGGGCTGTCCAGGGCCCTATAGGATGCTTGGCAGTACCCCTGACCTCCACCTGCTAGATGCCACCAGCACACCACAAATGTCTCCAGACATGGACAAATGTCCCTTTGGGGGCAAAATTGGCTCTAGTTGAGAACCTCTGCTCTAGATTTGCAAAAAATATCCACAAATATCAAATATTCTAGATCTTCTGTGAGCTCCTTAACTTCCTAAATGATCTTTCATGATCCATTATTTGCTTAGTTTCAGTTTCAAAAATCTTCAAATGGAGAAATACATGTTACAGGAATATAGTAACAAATCTAAGTGCTTAAAGAATATATTCAATCATTTTAAATTTCTTTCACAAGGAAGACATACAAAATACATTAACCTTATGTTGATAATGGATTTAACGATCTCCATGTTTACTAACCTATATTTTCAGTCATGAAGGCATCTGGGTAAAGTTTTTCTATCACAACCGACCAGTCCTTGAAAACCAGATCACCCAGCTCCTGGAGATCTCTGTAAAATCTGACGGGGAGCCCTTTGCTAATAATCTTAGCCTTAAGTTTTCCAATCCTTAATTTTTCCTCATTGTTCATCTGGGAACCTGAGGACAGCTTTCCCTCCTTTTCCGCATCTAAAGCCTTCAGCAGTGTGGTCTGGGTCCTAAAGTAAAAATACTGAAATTGAGACTCATTCAGAAAGGCTGCTTGGATGATCTCCAACTCCGTCAGACTGCAGCTGGCATTCTCCAGGACCCAAGGATAACCATTTTCTGCCGCAACGTAGAGATTCTGTTCCACTCTGGACAAACTTGACAAGTCAGTGGCTTTGGTGAACATGAAAGGTGAGTAGTCAGGGAGAAAGTCCCCGTATGTTTCACCCAGCATGCAGATGAAAAAGGGGAAGGAGCTGTTGACATAGTCGAGACAGAGCTTCAGCTGTTGGGAGCAGAGGCAAACATGCTGTTTACACAAGGACGCCTGGCCCGTCAACACTGACCACCTCAGGTCCACAGCTTTGAAATATGTGCCCCGCGAATGGCAGAGTTCATTGAGCTGAGGGAAGATGCAGTTTGCCAAAAAGTCCCTCTCTTCTTGGAAATCACTCAGAGTGGAGCAGATGTAAGGCTGAATGGGTTTCTGGGGCTTCAAAATGAAATCAGGCATAGCTGTCTTCATTTTCATTCGCCGTCTGGCTCATTTCACTTTGCTCGGGGATGACATTACACTTAAAACATAATTTTCACCCTAGCGCAGCCACCAACCTCTACTGCCTCTAGGACTTACGACAAACAGATTGAAATCCTTCCCCAGAACTTTCTTTCTTAAGGACTTTTGAAGGTTAAGATGCCAACCAGCAAATGGAGAGATCAGAGTTGAAAACAATCTAGTTTAAGTTAGGACTGAAAAAGAAAAAAACACATTCATTTCAGGGTAACAGGAAGATGTCATATACACTGTTCTCCCGCAAAGCTTTTGCCAAAGAGCTGAGAACCACATGGTGAGTGGGCACTGGACACCAAGCCATCCCTCTTTTCCTCAGCCTCCCATTCCACCTCCCAGCATTCCTTCAGCTAGCTGCTCCTTCTGCTCTGTATGAATTTGAAAATCATGGAAGGGGTCTTTGCTGAGAGTGTGAAAGGAAGACAAATCCAGAAAAGGTGCCTCATGTATCTAGGAGCAGAACCAGCCAAGACCTGTGATTGTGACCAGAAGCAAGGATAAAAATGGGTATGAAGTTGACAGCAGGACAAAAGAAACAAATCAAAGTACGAAAAGGCCCAAGACCTCCTGACACCTGAGGGGCAAAGAAGTCTGGGTCTAAGAACCCGATGGAGTTCTGTGCTTTTTTGAAATCTTAACTTATGCAGGTTCATACCACATTCCATTCATCTACATGCACTGGGAATTCAATGTTACTGAACTAATGGAAAAATCTTATGCTCTCTAACAAGGATGAGGGGGTCTTCCCGAGAATGTAGAAAGGAAGATATGCTTGCATCTAACTCAGAAACAAAAAACTTCAATGAAAACGGCCTAGTGGAATGGGCTTTTTCTTGATGCAACTCATCTCCATACCAAATGTTGTTTTGGTTATGCTTATTGCTTTCTCCTATAGGGAAAGATATCATGTTATACTGTATAGAGTAATTTTTCATCAAGATCCTCTGACAATTATATAATACTGCAGTACCTTTTTAAAAAGTGTTAATCCTTTTGCATTTAATTATCACAATAATCCTATGATTGATAATATTACCACTCTACTTTACAGATGAGGAAACAGAAGTTCAGGAAGGATAAGCAACATGTCAGAAGTGACTTGGATAGTAAGCGAAGAGCCAGGATCTAAACACGGGTAGGCCAGAGTTCAGAACACACACATTATACTGCTTCCATATTATAGATTATAGGTCATGAAGGTGACCTAAGTCAACAGGTGGGAAACCCCTGTCCGATAATAAGGTGGAGATCTGAAGAAAAAAAAAAAAACTAATTTAAACCATAATCTCACATTATTGTACCAAAAAAAAAATTCTAAAAGATGACAGAACGGTCATATGGGTACCTAATTAATAGACTTCTCTCCTGTCACATGGAAGCTAGAATTAGATTAACAGCCCTCACAAATACTCACCTTCTCCTATCCCCATATGATCTGAGGTCATTTCTATCTTGGTCACTATCATGACTGGCTCAGAGTAGGTGTTAGGTGTTAGGTAAAGTTTTAATTTGTTGAATGAAAATTTTAATATAATTTTTAGATGAAAAAACATAATTAAATATTTATCAGATCTGAAGAGGACTTGTAAAACTTATACGCTGTAGAAGAATCACAAAAGAAAAATGGGCTGGTATAATTACATTTTTTAGAAACTTAAAAGGCAAACAGACTATTAAAAAATATTTTCCACAAATAAATTTATCTTTATTCCAATAAAAATGTTGACATCCTAGTAAACTAATAAGCAAAATACACGAATAGAGAAAAAAAAATACAATAATACACATAAAAGCATATTCAACATTTCTAAAATTCAAAGAAATTTAAAAATAAGCAATGTTACAGATTTTTTTTTTCAAATATAGCTACCTGAATATTGGTGAAATGTACCTCAGATAATTTTCAAAAGCTATTGGAAAGGATATTTGGAAACTAAATGGCAATATACTTCAAAATATATTAGAATGTTTATAATTTTTGACTCAATGATCTTACTTTCTGGGAATCACTCCAAGGAACTAATCAAAGTAGTAAAAAACTACAGCCAAGATGTTCCTTCTATTGTTTATAAAAGAAAAAATGTAGAAGAACACAAACTAGTTTTCACTAAGGTCATAACTAAGCGAATAAAAGTACAACCACTGATGGCAGGTTGTGCATCTACTAATAAGACAATTACAGACTTCTGCTTCCATCCATGATAGAAAAACAGGGACTGGACTTGCCTACCCTTTTTAAAAAATCAGAACAGTGGACAAAAGATATGAAATACCTATTTTTGAACATTAGACAATATAGGAATGATCCCCAAGAGAAGTAAATTAGAGGAGCTATATTATTATCATAAAAAGTGGACTTCAGAACAAGAGTATTACTCAGTCTAGAGAGTTACATTACATAAGCGTAAAGTAGCCCACCAATAAGATATAACAATCCTAAGAGTATATGCATCTAATAACAGAGCTTCAAAATACACAAAGCAAAAACTGGTAATGAAAGGAGAAATAGATAAAACCACAACATTGTTAGAGATTTCAACATTCCTCTCCCAGAAATATATGGTGGACAGATAATCATCAAATATATATAAGATCTGAGAAACACTATCAAAACTACTTGACCTTACTGACATTTTCAAAACATTCACCCAACAACAAGAGAATAGATTCTTTTCAAGCACCCACAGAACAAGGACCATACTCTAGGCCAGGGGTTAGCAAACTACAGCCTGAAGCCAAAGCCTACCTGTTGGCTATGTTTAGAAATAATATTTTATTGGAGCACAGCCAATCCCATTCATATTATGAATTTCATACTACAACAGCAAAGTTGACAGTGATCATAGATCCCACAAAGCCTAAAATAGTTTCTGTCTGGCCCTTTAAACAATAAATTTGCCAACTGCCATTCTAGGCCATAAACCAAAAACTCAACAAATCTGAAAGAACTGAAATCATATCAATTATGTTCTCTAACCACAATGGAATTAAATTAGAAACTGTTAACAGAAAGATACCTGAAAAATTCACAAATTTTGGAAATCAAACATTACATTTCTAAATAACTCATGAGCTGAAAAGGAAGTCAAAAGAAATACTAGAATAATAGAAGGACAAGGGAAGAAATTACTGGGAAGGGCCACAGGGAACTCTTTAGGGCGATGGGAATGTTCAATGTTAATTATAATGGCAGTTAGGTGTAGCATTCATCAAAACTTACCAATTGAACACTTAGAATGGGCACATTTTAGCTTATGTAAATTATACCAAAATAAAGTTAACTTTTTTTAATTTGAGAACTATACAGCAAGAGGAAAATGTTTAGAAGGGCTAAGTGAAAAGGGAAAATATAATTTATATTATGGCCTGCAAAAATAGTGCAGGCCATAATAATGACAGTGTTAATAAAACGCAGCTAAGTATGGGAAACTTCAGTAGAGGGGTGAAAAGCACAAGCTCAGACCAATCCCCTGGGTTCAAGTCCTTATAGTAAGTTTCTTAAATCCACAGTGCTTCATCTTCCTCATCTGCAAAATAGGGACAACAGAGTCTGTGTCATAAAATGGCTGAAAAGATTAAACAAGTTATTAGATGCAGAATGCTAAGAAACAGTGACTTTTAACAAATATTCAGTGAATGTTTTATAATTAGAGCCAATGCACCCAAGGAAAAAACAGGAAAGAAAAATGATACAGCAGCTGTGCTACAATAGCAAGATTATGGCACACCTGTTTTTCTAATCAAAATGACAGCAAACTATAACAGTATTATTTTATAAGTAAAATTTTAAATTAAAAAACAATTGCCATACCTCACTCCATAACTGCTGATAAAAAATTTCCCAGTTTTTGAAAAAAGGGAGGATTAACTGAGAAAAAAAAACAAAACAAAAAACATAGCAGACCGAAATGGAGGGAGTTATTTTTTGAGAGGGAAGAAGATACAGAAAAGAAGGACATACCTTTTTACTTTTCTCTGAAGCAATTTAAGTCAAAAAAAATTTTTGTTACCCTAAGTGGAAAACCCTTATCATATGCCAAAAATAGTCATAAAAATAAGTGCATTAGAAAGTAAACCATGTGAATAAATTCCAGTTAGATGCAGTTGTCTTATTAAAAACAGATTAACATGTACTTATTAGAAAGGCATTTAAGACAAATGATACCAAACTGACTTTCTCTTGGCATAATCAGAAAGACTGACACAGAATTGAAAGGATGCAACATGTGCACCAGGGAATCCAAGCTATTAAGTAAGGCCTGTCCCTGGCCCACCGGTTGCCGCGAGGGGCATGGCAGGGCCACTGCCCACACTGTCGGGGAAACTCGCAGAGTTTGAGTGTGGGCTTTGGAGGCAGATAAACCCTGCCTCAAGGTCTGACTCGGACACTGCTTCCTGCAGCTGGAAATCTGGGAATAATGACCACACCCTGTGGCAGGATTTAATGAGACTTTGCATAATTGGCACCTAATAAACACATTAAATAAAAATGTACTTTCTTTTAACACTGCTACAGTAGACTTCTCATTAAGAAATATCTTTCCCAACAGATTTCTTAAGCAAGTTATCACTGTTTAATTTACATTTTGTAATCTGCAAGGTACAGACTAAGCCCTCAGTAAATGTTTGCTATTCCTATTGTTGTCAATGTTAACATTGCCACAAATGTTTGACTGCATATTTTGCAATGAAGCAGACTCAATGACATCACTGTATTTACCGCTGCATGTAATAACTAAATGTTATGAGAATGTCTGTTAACTGTTCAAATGTTCCTCTGACCTTTTTCAGAAATTTCTATATTCAAATGTCATGCCTCCCACCCTCCATCCCCAATGAACAGAGCATCTAACTGGAGTGATTTTTCCTGAGAGCCCAAGGTTGTACTTTTTCTTTTTTAAGCTTTTTATACTTAAAATGTAAATCAGTGAGAATGTAAATTGGTACAACTTTCCTTGAGGGCAGTTTTTCAGTGTC